TTCTTTGAACACTTTTTTTATCCACTACTTCTTTTATAATTAGCCTATCTTTTTTGAGAGAAGGCATGATGGCAAGGCCTTCTTTTGGGTCATTAGGCCTTGATGATCAGAACTTTTGGCAATTCTGATTTAGGAACCGTATTGCATATATACGCTAACACGCACAAACACACGCATACACTTGAGCAAAAGTAAGAGGATCAGTATGAAATATAATTAGCCGAACCACTCTATATCCTATCTATCAGGGTTTTTAATTTTCTTTTGGCTTAATTGAGTCTATATAAATATAAGATAGAGACGGATAGTGTTCTTGCTTTAGTCTTAACGTAAGACTTTTACAAAAATGACACCCAGCTCTGAGGATCTCCATTAAAGGATGGATGAAAGGTCAGCACGTTTTCACCCGAAACGAGGGGGGAAGTCTCGTGGACTTCTTCAACATGAGTATCGTATTAAAGCCAAACGGCTGCTATACAACGAGTTTCATCCGTCCTCTTCTGGTGAGATCGAACAACGAATCTCTTCTCCATACACTTTCATACGAAATGAATGTCCTCCTAACAATATTATCTCTAGAGATTCATCAAAACCTAGTTTCTCTTTGTTTTTTTAATCCTAGCAAATTTTATTTGACATGCTTTCATATGCAAATTGTCAAAAATAAATTCAAAATCAAACTTACCTATTTTTCCCGCACCTAAGATCTAGTTTTAATGGGACACATGCGATTCATCCTAATCACATAAACAAACTCTTGATTACGCCATTTTATTGTCGCCTGTCTAGTCCACAGATATTGTTTATTTTGACTTCCCATTCTACGTTTGCATAGTTTTATCCATCCCGTTCGGATAAATTATTGTTTATCAAACGCACATGCTAATCTTAAATGTGTTATTTCTATTAGCATTTTTATTAACTGAATGAATGGAATGGCCAATACTATAGCTCTTTATAACGCATTGGATAATTTGCCGTTCCCGAGCATTTAAAAGCTTACTTTTAAATCCAAAATTCTTTTAAATCACCCAGATATCATACTTTGTAATTTTTATGACTTTTTTATTTCCATATTATTTAGTCAGTTGCGCATGAAATGGAGGAGTCTTATGGAATTCTTGGAAGTGTATTTCGTAACGGTAAGTACAATTTCCGCCTTGAAATTTGATTGACTTTTTATTTTTCTTCTTTTGATCCACAAATTAAGACAATTTCGATTGCTTTTTGCGAGCCTCTTCGGTATCTTGTGACTGACGTAATTCAATTTTTTGTCTGAACAAAGCGGATAAACAGCAAAATTCGCTTTTAAGATCTGTTTTACTTCCCTTTATTTAAATGTATATTTCAGTAAAGTGATTTCCTATTATTCACCTCTTAGGGCTTCTTCAATTCTTCGTTAGTAATTCTCAATTTTGTATTAAGGGTTCTACAATTGGGACTATGATCCGTCCGATAAGTGAAGCCACTAAATAAAGAAGCATTGAGTTATTTTGTATTGATATTGTATCGTTTCTTCCCCTCATTTTGCGTCGCCAGGGCTTCTTTATAGCAAACCAACTTTGACTGATATTTATGCTTAACATATCACCTTTGATAGTAACTTTGTCGCTTGACTTCTAATATTTATTTTAATATTTCCTCTTGTAAATTCAAGATTATATTACTTTCTTGGATTACTAGATTTCTATACTCTGTTCGCTTAACTATCTATATTCTATTTCACTTACGGATTTCAACTATCAATCGATATAAATCTTGGTAGATGTCACTTTGGAGCTTGATCAGGTTGTCAGTCACAATGAGATATATATACGTATAAAAACTGATTTTTAATGAATCCCTTAATCAATTGATTCTGGAGTACCTATCATTTCGCTTAAAAAGGAAAGTGGATGTGATTTATAAGTTGGCCTTAAGATGGATTTCCTTGAAGTTATTATTTGATTTGCGCTAATAGAACCTCGGCGGACTGCCCCACGACACTGAGGTTTCGTCCAGAATGTGATATACATCGACACAATCTCGGAACCGTGAGCTGTGGGCTTATTTGCACAAAGCCACGGTCAGAGCCCCAAGACAAACCCTCCTTTGACTTCCGGTGTGACCAACTTAAGAATCCTTTTCACTCGCATATTCAAATTTAATGAAAGTTACTCAACTAAAAATGAGATATAAACTGACTAATTTTTTTCACCTTCGCAGCATGCTTGAGGAACAAAGTTGTATCCAAACCTTTTCCACAAGTTTGGGTGCGGAGAATTTAAGAGATTTTATGTTGTGCAACCAAAAACTGTTTATTAAATAGGATCTCAAGAGTTAAAGTACTTTATTTTTACTTATAAATTTAATGTATACTACAATTTACTGACGTTTTTATGCTTTCAAAGTCCCTGTAAAATGCATTCTAGTTTTTATTAATATAGCAGTCGACCATGATGTTTACATCAGTATTGATTATATGCCGGACCAGACTTTAATTGACCTCCATACATGGCTAAGTCTAAGAATCGACGAGCTTGTCTACAAGCCAAAATTTTAGAATATATATGGGCAATGTTGCGCTTTTTATAACTTGTTTGACCTTATTTTTGCAACTTAGTCATATTGGCAGGAAGACCTAGAGGAACGCAGCTTATCCGGAGTTTATAGTATGCATGATAATTTCCAGGAGCGGATCGTGATCTTGGTACGTTCCCAGATGTTTCGCCGGCATCGTAGTCAGCTTCGTCAGCGAGCCTTGCCAGTCTTA